GAAAATATGCTATCAAAACAGCAAACCCACTGTTTGACATCCAAAACTATTTCCATAAAAAAATGTCCACATAAAAATTCATTCCTGCAAAGCCTTTAAAACAGCCTAACTCAACTATTAAACACAATCATCAATAGAACACCCTTCAATACATCCACGACATTTTGCCAAAAAAAAAAATAAAAATTATCGTTAAAACCACCATAAATGACGGCAAAAAGCCATAACTTCTCATATCTCGAGAAAGCCAAAAGAAAGGCAAAAATCCATAAAAAGGAACAAAAATTTCCTCTCTAATTGCGTATCATGCAAAATCGACATAAATTTCATGTCATTGCCAAACAACGTATTAAAAAATCTTTTTTTTTGCCCTCACACTGACTTGCCTCGGCAAGTACACACCATAAAAAGGAATAACTTTGCATGACAACAAATTTTATGTAGCTGTTCATGTATGAAGAAAATTGAAACAATGAATTTATTTTGCATGCGATACAATTTTCTTTTAATTGGACTCTTTAAAAAAAATCTGAATATTTAAGCATAAAAATGAGAAGAATTTTCCATAATGGGGTCGTTTGTAAATGATGTCAAACATGTTTGTAAGGGATCTAAAGCTATCAAAAACAAAAAACTTGTGTATTTAAACATTTAAGGACAAGAAGGTTGAGGAGGAGGTCAAAAAATCAAACTTTAAATTTGACATCATTCACAAACGACCCCCAAGTCGAAAAAACCTCAAAAAAAGTTGCATGGTAGACAGTTTTTGTGTAAGTGAGAGTCAAGAACTTTCTTGTTATGTTGTGCATGATATTTTATCATAAATCTATGTTGCTGTGGTAATACAGTTGGAAGTTGTTTGCAAAAGTACCCTTGAAAAACATCATTAAACATCATAAAAACGTGTCTTATCTTCTTCCTCATACGATTTTTTTTTCTGTTGTTGTATTTTTGTGAATAAGCAAATGAGATTCAATTTTGTTAGTTTAAAACATGAATGCATACAGTAAATAATAAACAGGAAATCATCCCTCTTCAAAATTTTGCTTGAGCTGTTAAAAAACGTGAAGATAAAAAATATTGCGCATTTATGCAATCGGTTGTTAAACTCCTTTACTGCTTATATGTCTTCATAAATCTATGACATGTGTATTATTCAACGCTGAGTAATCTGAATAATCAACGTTGAAGATTTTGACACTTCTATTTGGGAATGAAATGTAGATGTGAAGATGTAGTTGGATTAGAAGGGTTACATTAGGTTTGTGGCGCATTTTATAGCTTCAAAGCAAATTAATGCCTTGAGCCTTCATGATATATGACTCAGAAATGACTCAGTTACGGAATTAATGAGTTAAGGCATAAAAAAAGGTTAAAGGGATCTAATTGTATAGTATTCAGGTCCTATAGGGTCAAAAACCGAAACAGCATCTATAAAACCTGTGGTAATTGATGAATCTGTTGACACTCGTGAGACATACTGATCAAAATCAACTTAATCATTCAAACACTTTGTCAATCAAAATCTCGCAAAATCCATCAAAACCCATCCCTAAAGACAGAAATGCAAAACAAAGTCTGATATATGATCGCATTATTCTCATCCAAAATAATATTTTCCTTTCTTTCAAATCTCGTCTTTATTAATTTTAAGTGACTAACAACACAAACTAAAAAGTTCATCATGTACATCGCATAGAATTTCATAAAATAAATTTATTTTGACATGAGATTGACGGTACGAACCCCTTCTCATATTTATTTCTGCATTTCCACATACGCTTATTCAATTCATGTTCATTTATTTGTTGGCCCATGAATCTCGCTCCGCTTTCGTTGGATTAACGACAATGGATGTATTGAGTTTCATGACTAGCAGGAAAAATAATGAAAAAATTACTTAAGTTTTGTTAGACGAGTTTTAAAAATAATATTGAGCAATTGAATAATATAATTCATTAGAATCTATGTATTGGATTTAAATATAAACATACAAAGAGAGCTAGTTTTTAGGGAGAAATACGAGTATTTTACAATTTCCCATTTATCATCTTCATTTCATCCTCATACGGCAAGCTAGCATACGATGTGAATAATCAAAGACATAAACATCGCATAGATGAACATTTTAGTTTCTCAAAATTGCTTTTGTTTCATTATTTAATAAATTGAGAAACTTCTTGTCATACGATGAGGATGTGAAGTTTTTTAAGAGTAAGGAAGACTTTTCGGTTATGGAATTAAATTAGGGAGAGAAGAATTTGCTTAAACTTAAGCTTAATATTCAATAATAGTCGGATTTCATAGGAATTGAACCTCCACTTATAAATATTGCTATCTCAAATATGCTTTTGATCTTTGAGTTCCTAGTTTAAGTTTAGCTATCCGATATTAACCTTCGTCCAGCTCTACAGTGTATCTCATACTTTAGAAAATCTACAATGCATATATCCATGACCCTTTTCATTGAACTCTAGTCCCTCGTCCACAATATACATAAAAATATCCACAATTATCCACACAAATTGAATTATATCGTCTTACCTTCGAACACAAAAAAGGCACAGACTTAAACACTCTATACGTTCATTAACCTGCTAAAAGCATTAATATTTTCATATTCACTATAAACGCTATTCTTTCAATCTACACATCGTTCACATAAATTATAGATCAGATGTCATTGACAATAAATTTTGACATGTGACGTGTGAATATAACAAATCAATTAGATCAAAATGTGCGAGGCACAGAACAACGCTTTTGAATAATTCATTATTCACGATTCTTTTTTCATTCGAGATGAGATTTCGTAATGAATTTTTATTCATTTAGGGAATTTTATTGAAAAAACATTGAAAATTAATGAAAGTGAAATTTGACACGAAATTGAGTGATCGATAAGTTTTGAAATTGAGTTTATAGACTTTTGTAGATGATCAGATATTGATTGAGAATTGCTTAATTTGTGAGAATTGGTTTTGTTTTATGTTGTTGGATATTGTGGGAATGACCTTAATATTTGAGCTGAGATTTGACTGTCAATTCATTTATTTGTGGCTGCAAATGATTTAACTTGATTCTATTTTGAGCGTTCAGTAGGAAATTCATTGAATTGTGAACCTGGGATACACTTAGTTGACCTAGTTGCAACTCCAAGTATCCTCATAGATAGATGATAAGACATCAAATCAATAAAGTTTTTAAGGTGCAACCCAACATCAAAAAGTTTCAGAAAATCCAATTTAAAAAATTCCAAATTTTCTCACAAAAATTCTAGAAATTAAATTAATTAACTACATACCGATCTTTATCCATATTCGTTTTAAAATCCTATCCAGAAATATGTTTTACATCTTTTTATTCATAAATCCGTAATTTTTCACTCCCTATACATCCTCATAAAAATTAAAAATTTAATGAATTATTTTGCTCATCCTGAAATTTTTTTCCCACTCTTTAAAAAACAGGAACCTTTAATTCAAAGAAGCATAAAACAATAAAGGAATTTAAATTAAATTTTTTTTTTATTAAAAATAACAAGAAATAAGAACCAAAACAGTTTAAGACAAATTACTGCCACATTGCTCCCTTTGCTCACTCATTCTTCATGTCATTTCTTCATCATCATCAGTTGAATGACAAAGTAGATGTATTTAAATAAATAAATATATGAAACAGAAGCAAGCTTCTTCTCGATGGGAAATGATGTTGATAATTTTCAACCGAGTGATGAGGGAGGGTTGCATCAGTGCTCGAAGGAATTCCTCATTCTTCATTTTAATTTCTTTCTTTTCTCATCTTCATCTTTCTCGTCAAAATATATCTACAAGACACAGTCTGCTGGTTGTAAATGAAACTTCTAATTACTGTAACAAAAATCAATTATATCATGCCTCCTTAATGGGAATACAAATTACTCGCACTCGTTTTACGCTTCACTCTTTCTCGCTGTATGAGTGCGCGGATGTTAAACTGATATTGATGGAATATAATTAGCTGTAGCTTAATGATCTGTGAGCAGAATTGGGAGTTCACTTTGGGTGATTTAATTGGGATTGAACAAATGTCAGACTAAGAGCGGATCAAGAGATTGACTAAACGACTAGACGAAAGCTATCCTATCATCTTATCCTAGAACTGCGCTCATAAACCCCCTCTAACATCCACATTCCATTTCGTACTCATTTGTATTCAGTGAGGTTCAGCGCACTAGAGAAATACACTCGATGAATTGTTTTAGCAATAAATCATTTTAAAAAATCACTGACATGAATGTTTACTTTTCAGTCTCATTGTGAACTTCACTTAAATAATTATTTATTGATTTCTCCTCTCTTTGTTTCTGCTCGTTCTTGTTTTATGTTTTATGTATAGTAAAAAGTTACTCGAGGGTGGATTTTGCTGTAGTTTTTTTAGTGGTTGAAATCAATCGATGACTTTTTGTTGGATTTAAAAGTGTTTTTTGGTGTAGAATGAACTCGAAGTAGATGAATGTTTAAGATGAGCTCTTTGCTAATGTCAGAATTGATTTAAAGCTGGGATATTGAAAGATATGCAAGCTAATCTGTTCAATGTAGCCGGTATGAGAGTCAGACCTCTGTGGTTGAGTGGATAGACAACAGTTTGAAAATATAAAATCATCTGATTGATGAAGAAGCTTAAAATAAAATAATAATAATAATAATAATAATAATGAAGGTTCGATTCCTGCTCGAAATTATTTTCTTAAAAGATATGAATTTGAACAACTTAATGCAATCATACAAGAGTTCAAAACCTATAGAATAATTCACGAGCCGTAAACTCACAAAATTACCAATTCTAAAATATAATTGAAACCTCCCTCACATCTATGATATCATAAACCTTAAACCCCAAACAATCAATAATTTACCATTAATCTTCATATAAAATATAAATTTATTACACATATCGCATGAAAATCACTCACACCCTTAACTAATTTTGACTGTTTCTCTTCTATTTTCTATTTACAGATTAAGAATAGACAATAATGGTGGCGCATGGTGTCCGAAACATATGGTGTCGAGTAATCTGAATGAATACTTACAAATAGATTTATTATCGCTACATGTAATCACATCAATTAAAACACAGGGTAGATTTGGTAGGGGTCAAGGGCAGGAGTTTACTGAAGCATATTTGATTGAATATTGGCGACCAAGCTTTGGTAACAAGTGGAAGAGATGGAAAAATTTACAGGGAAAAGAGGTGAGTAGATGTTGTTGATTTGAGGCTTAACAATTGCAAATTTTAAACACAAATTGTGTCAAAGTTCATCGATTCTACAGAAATTTTTTTTAAGCCTCACAGTCAATTTTTCACGGTCTCATCTCTATTGTTGGACACTATGACTCACTGTACTAGAATTCAAATCATCCACATATATCCAATTAGCGTGTTATTGAGAAAGTTATGATCAATGACCATAAGCATACATACCTCTCAATATCCAATATCCATTGTTCAATATACTCGAAAGTGAATAATGGTGTTTTAGTCAGTGTGCAGCTTAGTCGTTCAACAATAGACTCTAATCATCATCCGCATTACATTCACATTCATACATAAACTTATGCATATTTATTTTTCGTTCTTTTCTACATTTCTCTTTTTTTCGATACGTAAAGCAGATTTTAACAGGAAATATTAATACATATAGTGAAGTTGAGAATGAAATGCATCCAATTATTGTGGCACAAAAAGTTCGCATTTATCCATACAGTAAATATGATAGAACCGTTTGTCTGAGAGCTGAGTTACTTGGATGTCCATGGGATGGTAAGTTTGAATTTTACAGACGATTTTGGTTGACTTTTAGTCATCAAATTAATTTTTTTATTGCGTATTAACAAACGCTGTAAGAGATTGCGGAACTAGAGTTCAGATTCATGCTGAGAATCCTCTTCATATTCTATAACTTACGAAAACTCAAAACTTCATCTTTTCAAGCTATATAAATATGAAAAACTTCACATTGTAAATTTCATCAGGCAAACTTTATTAAATTGAATTAAAGAAACACATACAATGCAAATTTACGAACAAAAAAACATAAAATTTCCCTCAAAAATGATTTTTTTTGCCCAGGTTGTTTTATTTGCTCAAAAAACTCTCTCATGGATGATGTTTCACTTCCACACAAGCATGATGAAAATGTAATAAATATTGTTGAAATAAATGAATTAAAAACAACTTTTTTGTTTGCACAAATTTCATGTAAAACTAACAAATGAACTTTATTATTGAGTTTTTTGGACATGAAATTAGATTTATTGCATAACTTTACAAAAATTTATTCAATTCGAGATCAAAAGTCAAATATGAAATTTTTAAAAATTTCTGACAGCTTAAGGGCAATGACAACAATTCTCAAAAATAAATGGAATTGCTTTCAGTAAGACAACAATAGCACATATGCTTCATTGTGCTCGATCAATAAATTTTTTAGCAGAATAATTAAATGATTTGTGAGATTTGGCATTTGGAATTGAAATGGAAATTAATAGTCATTTAATAATTTTAATGGATATGATTTGTTGGTAAGAAAAATATGCAAATTGATGGAATTAATTCAATTTTGATTTATGGAAGAAATTGAGTATAATTTACGGATATGAGTAGCAACATATGGTCCTTAAATTTGACAACCTATTCCTAGTAAACCTAGTCTTAAGTTCTTAAACGATATTTTCTTATATCATTGAAACTTAAAATCATTTATATACACATTAAGAAAAGATTAAAGAAGGTTTTTATGCCACCTGAAAAAGTGTAAATCCTTTTTCACGCGGCTTTTCCTTCATTAAATTAATAACTGAATAAATAATAATAATAATAATAATAAACCTTGAATTTAATAGATCACAAACTTAATTCAACTAAAATCATTTTAAAATCATCAACTTTAATTTTTGCAGTCGCATTTTCAATTGCTCTTGTGCCTCATTCATCATCATCAGCACACTTAATTTCCAAGAATAATTCTCCGTCACATGCGATCATAATTGCACCACTACAATTTTATAAGACACTTTAAATTCTTGTTTTAAGCATTGATGCCTTTTTACTTTCATTGAGAATTCTTAAAATATTCAAGGTGTTGGAACTTGTTTTTTTTTTTTTGATTTGAACAATAATTTACAATTGTAAAATTAAATATTTCAACTAAAGAACTAGCATTTGATTCAAATCTTAATTGAATATAACTGCACGTTTGATAGCCAAATCATACTTAATGTCTTGAATGGTCAAATAAAGAAGAATCATAAGTTAATGAATAAGAATTTTCATAGGAGTGAGTTCGAATCTCATTGATTTTAAAGAGTTTTTTGAAATTATGTTCACACATTTTTTTTGGTGATATTCTTCAGATTGAACGTAACAATTGTGCAAAAGCATCCATCCCTTGACCCATCAAACACCAAACACACAATCAAATACTCAAGCATGACTGCAGATTTTAAATCATCGGCATTGACTTTAATTTGATAATTGAAAATAAATTACTTAATGACACTCATTAGAAAAATGAAATCTTCTGGAAACATGAGTTAAAGAGTCAATTAAGAGCAAATTATTGAAATTTGTCACAAATTGCTGCATGACTTTGTTCCACATTTCAAGATTATTTTTAAAAGGCGTGAAATTTCTTTGTTTTGAGCTTATTAATTTTGACATTTATGGATAAATAATTTTTATAAATATGAGAAGTTGGCATGAATTGCTGTGGTCGTTTAAGGGAGTATGAAGTCATAGTTTTGTGATTTGTTGATGGAATCGGATAAGATTGTGAATTTTTATGGAGATTATGAGTCAATTGTTCAAACTTAAATTTAAGTCATGTTAGGGGTCGTTCACTTATGACGTCCAAAATTAACTGTCATTTTCAGAGAAAAAATTTTATTGTTCTTTTCTTCTTGACCTCCCCCCCCCCCCCCCCCTTCCTGGACGTCATAAGTGAACAGCTTCTTAGTCATCAAGCTAAAGCAACAAATTTCTCATAGAAATTAAATTTTCCTCTCCTTTGACACATCAAAATCATTCAAATCAAGCACACCCCACCACACCGTACTCTTTAAATTCCCATCAAAAATTTCCCAAGCTCTAAAATTGCTAATTCAAATGAGTGAAGATAAAATTTCCATCCTCATTCCATCCGAAAGAACAAGAACTTCACGACATCATTAATCAATCAACGAGAAGATCGGCATAAACATTGGCATAATTTATGAAATATGTTTTATATCAAAGAGCAACAAAAAAGGAAGCCATAGCGATAAAAACTTTCAAGGTGTAATTCATCATAAATTATTCAAAGTGACTTTTTGTGTTACGCACATTTGTGGAAATATGAATATAAATATTCAAAATGTGATGAATAATTATTCAGGCTGTGTGTTTATGTTATTTGATATTTTAATACATATTTTCAAGCCTCTGACAGGGATCTAAGGTTTCATAATTTATAAAAAAAATACTGAATAATAATTTTATTTTTAATAATTATGATGTTTCATTTCATTCTTAATGCCCTCTCGCATGCCATCTCTCATCTCTCGCTTCCTTCTTATTTTCTTCCTCATCATCTCATTCTCATTTCCAGTATCTTTATTATTACTTTTGTTGTTATTTCATAATATTCAAAAAAATGATAGAGGGGAATTATATCTCGAGTGAGATAAATTGAATCTCATTTTTTTGTTAATGCCACATTTCAAAAATAATGTAAAGTATAAAAACAAAATAAAAGTATGAATGAGTTTGGAAATGTTCTACACTTTGAGGGGGTCATGCTAGAGGATAGGGAATGATTTTTTAAAACTTAGTAGTTTTGGCGGGATTTAAGGGTTGAGCAAATGACTCAAATAAATTGTAACTGGACAATTTGAGTTCTGTGATTGACTACAACTTCCTAACAGACAAGCAGAAAAAGCATTAGGGTTGGGCAGAATCGTATTCGAATATATTCGAATATAATGTGCGCACATAAATGTGCGCATATATTCGAATATATATTCGAATATACATAATTCAAAAAATAGCCGTTATTAATCGTGATTTTTTTAAAATAAATGTTTAACAATTAATTAAATAACTTACAACTAAAATATCGACGTATTTGGCTAAAGAAAGTACTTCCATTGCTTTTCCATTAAAATTAGATCTATTTTAGTAATTGTTTAACATGGTTTTTTCAATTGAAAAAATTTGATATCAAAGAATATTTGAAGTCGCCTTTTAAAAAATTTTAACGGTCAATAAATATTTGAAAATTTTCCTGCTAAAAGTTGCACTACGAAAACATTAGTTATAGTATAATTACATAATTTGTTCCAATGAATTTCCATATAGAAAAAGTTTTTCATTTAACGGTCTTTTGAGATTCAAATTTTCTAACAGTCAGTAAGTTTTTGAAAGCTTTTTGCCAAAGGATACACAAAAAATCATTAATTATAGCATATTTAACAATTTAATGTCATTAATTCTCATATATGAACTGTTTATCATTTACAAATTACAGGCAAGTTGAAAAATGCTAATCAACAAATAACGTATTTTTTCATTTTTGAATTTCTAATATTCGAATATATATTCGAATATTTTTTTGTTCATATTCGAATATATTCGAATATATTCGAATATTTGCCCAACCCTACAAAGCATTCTCAAAACCAAAATTCCTACAAGAACAAGAACAAAATTCAGAAAAAGGCACAAAAACACGCTACAAAAAGTAAAGTAAAATGAAATTATCATAAAAAATCTTTGCCATGTTTCATAAACTTAACGAAATTAATCTTTTATGAAGCACTCATGAATTAATGATGATGATTTACAGGTTGCACGCAAGATTGTTCCCTTCATCACATCCAAAAAAGAAATGTATCTTATCTTTCATTTTTGTGCGTGTGTACATCTTTCACCTTTCATGTCTTGTTGATACGCAATAAAAAAATTTGAATTTTTATATATTTCAATTTCAACTTTTTATTAATATTTTATTTCATCTCATTTCCATGTTTATTTTAATTTCATTTCTCGCAGAAGGACTCGTCTCTTATGTCGTACCAAAAGCAAATCAAAAAGTCGACATTGAGCTCAGCGATAGAACTTACGATGGTGATGATCAAAGTGATCGTCTTGTTAATGGCTTGGGTCAATTGGCGGATGGACAAAAAGGCCAGGATAATTATCGTGCTGATGTTACTGGTTTTGGAAGAGGTGAGTAATAAACAGGCATTTATCGATGATGAGTCTTGTAAATGAGGCTATATAGCCTCTTATATTAAAGGCTATAAAAGATTTTTTTGTCTTCTCCATGAGGCTTTTTCACTGGGATTTTGTGCTTACGATGGAATTAATTGTTTATGTGATGGTGATTTGGGAATTGAAATTGTTGGTATCATGCAGGTCATTTTGAGATGTTTGCTGCTGTGGGAGCTGATAAGGTGTAATTGGAAACTGTTAAATTTCAGGTAGGGTGGGGCGAGGGGGGTCAGTTCTGTGATTGTTTAATATTGAGACAAACTTAAATTTTAATCATCGTTGCTCCTGTTCCCTGAAGATATAAACCTCAAATCTAGCAAAACTTATCAAAATCTTTAAATATCCCAATGAAAAAGCCTCATGGATCAGGATGTGTAAAAGCAAAACAACATTTAAGGAGCATAAAAAAATAAAAGAAAAAATCTTTCTCTATAGTTATTGCCATTGAATGTAAAATGGCATCATTTCTCATGAATTTTATTTCTCATCATTCGTCGATGTAAAATGTTGTTGTTGATGTTTGTTTGATTTAAGAAAATAAGCGATTTTTTAAGGAATGATTGCTGGTAGTTTTGGATCAGATTTACCATTCAGATTGCTCATTTTCCCTTAATTAAACGTTAATTCCCCACAGAATAGCCCTATTCAGATTCCTTTAAATTCAACATCCCCTGACCTAACCCATTAACCACCAAATGCGCCTCTTGTCCATCAATCTTCGAGTCACAGATGATTCCACAACTAGCTTTATTTCAGATTTTTCTTATCTCTTCATTGAACCTTTTTTACTCCATCGTTCACCCGATTATTTTCCTTTTTTTTGACTGACTGCTGTTGCTATTGAACATAATCTTTGCTTATTTTCTTCTTCTTCCATTGCTTTTTTGAAGGATTCTTTTTTTTTCACTCACCCTTATTTGCCTTTCGCCATCATCATTTTTATTTTATATCTTCCTTTTCACATACATGAATATACACAGGAAAAAAATTGTGTATTTTCTTTCACCGTTACATTCTTTTTATTTCATTTGATACTCTTTGACTTTAAGGAAGAAAAAAAAGGAACAAGGAAAAAATACGTTATCGGTAAACGGCACATAAAAACACATCTCGTTTCTGTTAAACTTTCTTTTTCAGCTCAAGTGTAATTTGTTATGTAAATATTTATACATCCCCATCTTCGTATCGAAGAAATATAAAAAACAGCAGCAGCAATGGCAACAACAATATTGTAACTACAGATAGCTTAGGCATGGAAATGAGTAGGAAGAATCATTTAAACATTTTATGGTGATTTTGTCAGGAAAGTTGAAGACAAAAAATGAGGTGAGGGGTGACTCAGCTACATTCAGTCATATCCAAAAATGCTGCATTTAGCATGAGTTGGGGGGTCTCTGGCATATGATTGGGTTTAGTATGAAGCTATGTAATTTGTTTTTTATTACCAGGCATAGGTTCGAATCCTTAAACCTCTCCTCATAACTTTCTTTAATATTCCGAAATTTTGATTTAAATTCATAGACTTTAAATAAGTTGCTATCCAAAATCACCGCAAAGACATCTCTGAATGCATGTCGCATCAAATTGTAAACAAACTTGCTCATGAGAAAAAAATATACATCATTTTATAGGATCCAATATGCTCATCTGCGACTGTTTTCTGTCGCTATTGCTTCATTCAGTGTAATATACCAAACAAAACATTAAGTACATCCATTAAATTCATATTTTCCTATCGTTTTCTGTTGTTTGCGCGTACTTTATAGAAAACAAAAACTTTCTCATGGTTTGGCATTGATAGAAATTGATGGATGGAATTATAAATTTGAATTGAGTTACTGGTGGGATTTGGGGACTAGCTTAAGATTTAATAGAAATATAAATTGATTTTGATGGGAATATTTAAAACTTTAGGGATTCATGGGGATACAAACATAAATGATGTGTATTGAAATATGGAATGTTCAGACTTCTTAAAACCCAGAATGACATAAATTAAATCAAAAAATGTAAACAAGCTTCATAAAAATTCTTTCAGAAAATTGCCTTCTTTCTATGCTGCTCATTATACCTCCATAGATTACCTTGTACCCCACTCCTTTATGTCTCATTATTATTTTTTAATGCTAATCGTGGAGTGTATAAATAAAAAAAATATGTATATATAATTTTATATCCTCAATAATAAATATATCATGGTCCATAGAACATTAAAATGAAAATTTATTACCGTGCACGTGAACGCAACTTTAACATTTCTTCTCTCCTCTTTCCAGTGCCTATCTATCTCTAGTATCGTCTTAGTAGCAAAATACAAGCATTAGACTACATGATTGGTACGATTACCTGTTTAATGTGCCTCAAAAATGGAAAATTTACATAAAAAAGCTTTCAATTTCAAACTTGAAATTGCTGTTTGCTGCCAATTTTCCATTTTTATTATTTCCATTCCTACCTTCACTCCGCACGCTATTCTCGATAACAACAAATTGAAATTGAATTTTTATTTTCTGTTCAGCAGTCTAAGTGAAAGATTGAATTCTAATGAAATACACAACAAAGTCGCATTAAAATGTTTTCCATTTTTTCTCTGTGTCGGAATGAAAAGGAATTGAGGAAAAAAAAATTATCATAATCACAAATTTATTTTTCTTTCTTTCTGTTTGAATATTTTTTCTTGATTCTTCTTATTATTTGTGTAAGTGGATGAGGATTTCATTGTTGTTTCTTTGATTGTGTAATGGATTAGAAGTGTAGATTTTATTGATGTTGCAGGGATTGAGTTGGATCTAAGTGAGATACTAGGATTGAATTGAATAAAGAATTAGGAATTTGATCTACTGAATTTTTAAAGAATAAGAACAATTTTAAATTATTTCAATCAGAATCAAACTATTGGACTTGATTAAACCCGAATAGCACAAGTCGGTTAATTGAATAGAAATCCGGTGCTAAGTTGGCATGACTCAAGCATGATGCTGGCTTTGATTTAAATCTAGCGCAATGCCAGAGTCACACCGGATTGGTGCGGGATTTCGGATCAATTAAACGACTTGTGCCATTCGGGAAATGCACAGGGAGTGTCACTTATGATTTTAGCTGCTCTCTTCGAAGTTCAAATCCTTTCAGATCACAAGATTCAAAGACAACTTCAGAAAAAATCTCTGAAGAGTTTCGAACCCATAGATTTTTGTGTTCAGTAAATTAATATACAAAAACATTAAACCAATGAACCACCGAGTCACTTCAACTCAGTCATCTCCAAACTCACGAAATTTTGATACATGCCAGGATATTCTAACAAAGCTACCGCCAATCTACCTTAATCAAAAATCATTCATCTTCATACAACTCAATTTACAAGCCCTTAAAACCCAAAGTTATATAAATACATCATCAGACCTGAAATTTTGCTCGATAACAAATGCCCACAAGCTCATTACAAGCTTAAAATTTGTAACATGAGAACCACAAAATCCATTTCTTGTAGCAACAATTTTCTCGATAACAATTGGAAAATGTCAAATTTCTAAATTTACTTCCAACCATAAATTAAGTTTTGTTAATGAATAATTTAGAATTAGTTGATCAAATTTCAATAGATGCTCACAACAGCAACCGTAAACCGAGATGTGAGGTAACAAGACCATTTAATGTACCTTTAAGGTATGACAAAATAATAATAATAATATCGAAATATATAAATTCATGTACATCCCACGGCAAACATAAATATACATAACCATATGAATATATTGAAAAATCGAGTAGCAAGCATAAGAAAGCTCTCATCCATTATATCCATAAGCCAATGTCAATTCTTATTGGGGATCTCTTTTCTATATTCTTGAACTGAGCACAGTGAGAATATGAAAAAGTTTTTCTATTCTTTCCCGTCCATTAAAGAAGAAGCAATGCTATGAGATAAAACACCCATAAGAATCATCACCTTCTTATATTGGACCTGCAGGCTATTTATAGGCTACATATATGTGCGAAATGCAGAGTTGTAGAATTTTTCGGGTTTGGTTTGTTCTTAAAAGAGCTATGATGAAGTATCTCCAATAATCTCGAAAAAATGCTCAATTCTTACAGAAGTGTGGCTGTATAACAAACTTCTAGACTATCTTAATAGTCATTTCCACTCAGACATCTTTGCCCAACCCCAACGAGCCCCAATTGCTAGTCTATCCATTCATACAGTTATTACACGAGCAATATCATTTGAAGTCAGAATGAGAAAAAGTAGCAAGTCTGTAGCATGATATCAGCATAACAAGAGGAAGTAAAAGAAAAGTAGAAGTAAGAAGAAAGTTACGAAGGTGATTTCCATAAAACATATTGGATGAGAATGATATCGAAAGTCATTTCCTGTTGTGCTTGCAAGTCTTTAAGTAAACAGAGGAATAAGAAAGATGAAGAAAAAAATTTTTTTATTTCCTTCCTTTCCATGCTGTGGAAATTAATTTATTGCAATTTTGTGTGTACTTTTTTCATCCCTCCATTCGTGTGTAGATGTGTCTCCAAGGAGACTATAAAAATCCCCAGGAAAAAAAAAAATGTATGTTGATCCTCTTTAAGCAATTTAATGTGATATAATGGATGTGGAGAGTATGTTGGATATATTTACAGACTCCTAGTCCTATAATCCATAACAACTGTCTTTATTTCTACATCATTTCCTATGTGATACCCCCTCAAAATATTTATTTTATTTTCCAAAAAAAAAATGATGATGATGGCTATGGTGACAACACGGAGACTAAAAGAAAATACAGAATTAATAGCGATTTGTAATGTTTGAGGAAAATTTCTTCCTGGATAGACAGAAAAATCTCTTTTTTTTGTGTATGTGTATCTTTCAAATAATTTTTGTATACACAAAAAAACAGGGTAGTAGGAAGTTGATAAGTTTCTTTCATTTTCTTGGCATCAACATCATATTTTCTCATTCATGTGCTGCAATATTTTTTTTCTTCATCTCAATGTGTCTCATGAGGTGGATTATGTGGAAAAATTTGTGAGGATGACTTTGGGATGAAAGGAAGATGGAGAGGTGCTCTTTGCAGATTTAATGGCATATTTAGTGTGATAAAAAGTTGAAAGAACTCAAGATGAGTCATAGATTTTTGAATGGGAGATTATTGACATTAATGATGCAGGAGAATGTGCTTTAAAAACGATGAATTTACGATTTTGTAAGTTGAATTGTAATTTCGACTAGGTTTGACTCAAAAAATTGTCATAAATTAATTTTAGGATTCGAACATTATAAAATTTCAAAAATATCGATTCTTTTGACATTTTAAGTTTCATATAAGATTATTATCATCACTACGGTTCCATACAGTCCCAAAAACCCCCCAAAACCAATGTTTGAAGAATTTTCAAAATTTTTCATTTTTTTCATCCTCAAAACTTTCACAAAACCACAAAACAATTCATAAACGTTCACATTCATTCATGAATTCCAAAAATAATTTTCCCTCTTTTCCTCAAGCTCCTCTTTAATCTAAAGTATTTAGTTTCACACATAAATACCCAAAAAAAAAAAGTTTATTTTGTTCTCCATCCAAACAGCATCTTCAACAACACAATGTTTGCAGACACATATTAAGAGGAGCAGCAACAACGTTTCGAAAGCAACACACTCTCCAATTAGAAATAGGATAATATTTTGACTCTATTATCTTTGCTGTTCCACCCCGTTCCATTCAACTTTTGCTTCCTGCCTTCTTCCTCTTCTCCTGCTTCTTCCTTTTCACACTGCAAATAAGTTATCGTTAGGATAGGAAAAAGTTATAAACTATTTTGCTACTTTTCTTACTTCTGTGTGTATATGTGTCTCTGCTGCCCCGACAAGTGGAATTTTTCGTCTTCAGTATCGTCTTTAGTCGTAGAGAAAAGTTACTTCTTTCATTTCGCTTCTTCTAATGAAAATTGATCAATATTGAATAACTGAATAAGTAATTTGATACTTTTTCAACTTTATCTTATTTCTATCTTTATATCTGGGTACTAGAGCATGGGACTCAGCTAAACTTAATCAATGGTGAGTGATGAATGTGATAAAATTGTACTTCTGAGGGTTATTTTTTGTGAGCTAAGATGTGATGATTGTCATTAGAAGCTTAAGCAAAATTTTGTAACCTCAGATTTTAAATTTTTTATTGTGATGTTAATTTCTGTTGATTGTCTTTTTGGACATTTCTGTGTTCTACCTCATTAGACTTACTTTCTTACTTCGATGACCTTACAGATCAGTTGTGATCCATGGCCTACCTAAGATGCCCCCTAAAACTGGCTCTTTCGCTGGCTACTGATTGCCAATTTCCTATGCTTTTTCCATGTGTTCTTTGTGCTCTTTTTCCATCCACAGAGTCCGACTTAAAAACCTTACTTAATGGAGCTTCCACAGGTCTCCTCATCGCCTAGGCTCAAGTACTAGCCTATTGATATTTTAGTTATGGCAAAAGTAAAGCTGAGGTTTACCAAACCCTATCAATTAATGCCATAACAAGAGTTTTGGTACTAAAATCTATACCTTCATGTCTGAGATTTCTGATCCCCCTCCTCAATTGTTTTAGAAGTTAAAACCTTAAAGAATAGTTCAGTAACTTGGTAATCGATTACCAGGGTGGGGATTTAAATCATTTTGTATGAAAGATTTTTTTGTGATTTATGATTTAAATCACATTGTATGGGGATTTTTTTTGGGATTTTAAATCACTTGAAGGTGAAAATTTGTTTGGGAATTTTCAGAAGATTATTAAAAAACATTAATCATTAATCATGGATATCCTTTCTGGCTTTTGGATATTGTAGTATGCAGATGTTGGTATAGCTCAAAATGATAAAGCATGAATGAATCTAGCATCATATGAGGAACTAGTCTCAGAAAAAGTGCTTCAATCTTTAATGACTTAATATTTAACATTTTCAGTCTTCAGGCACTAAAGGAACCGGTCGGTTTCTCAAAAAAAATTTTTGTTCCAGGATTTGATTCCTTGATTAAAAAGAAACAAAAAATTTTTTTTGGGATGTAAAGGAACTGAGCATTTCCAGTGTTTAATCATACCTCTGGCTAAGAAATATAAACGTATACCTCTTTGACAATAAAAACTTATCAAAAAATGCTTCAAAGGGACTGAAAGTGACTAGTTCCTCATATGAAGCTAGATCCATTCATGCTTTATCATTTAGAGCTATACCAACATCTGCATACTACGATATCCATAAGTCAGTAAGGATATCCATGATTAATGATTAATGTTTTTTAATAATCTTCTGAAAATTCCCAAACAAATTTTCATCTTCAAGTGATTTAAAATCCCAAAAAAAAATCTCCATACAAAATGATTTAAATCAGAAATCATTTTTCAAATCATTCTTCATTGAGATTTAAATCAAAAATCACAATTTGATTTGTGATTTTTATTTAAATCGCAAAAAACTCCCCCACCCTGTCGATTACAGCTTTAGCAGTTACAAACAGACATTGATAATTATAAAACCAAAACTATTGAAAAAGACATCATTCATCAATTTGATAGAAAGTAATTGAAGATGAATGAGAGGAAGAAAAACTTGTCAATGGCTGGAAATAATTGAGAGAAATTCATGAGGAATTTGAGATATGAATTTTAAACTTTTTTTTTCTGTGCTCCATTTTCGAATTAAATTATTTATGAGTTTAATATTGATGATATTAATTTTAAAATATTCTACTCTATTTTCAGGATTTGAGTGGGTTGGATGGAGTAACGATAGTGTTGGAAGTGCTGGTAGACCAATTGAATTGACATTTCAATTTGATACTGTGAGGAATTTTAGTGCGATGATTTTGCATACAAACAATATGTTTTCGAAGGGTATTCAGGTGAGTTGTTACTTTTAAGTTATTTTTGCGTTGATGGTGGGCTTAATAGGGTGACTACCAGATTACATAGACATCAAAACTCATTTTCGTGCTATGGTAGTCATTCTTAAATTTATAAAATTGTCGTTTCGAGCTTCGTTGGCTTTGCACTGATAAATTGACAACAAAAAAGATTTTTAAGAGCATTGTATGGAACTACTTTAATAATTCAACATGTTGAAGTTTTGTTAAGGCAGTCATGAGTCTAGTCCTTGCCTTGACTTCACTAATAGAAACAGAACTACTAAGAATAGCATCAAAGGGGTTATCAAAAGATTCAGATGGTTCAAATCTTAATTAAATCAATAGCTTACGTTTGAAAACAACAGAATTGACTTCCATTACTTAAAGACCACCCGCAATTAAATCATTGAATCCTCCAAAACTCCAAAAAGTATCAACAAAAGTACAGAAAATGCCCTCAAGTTAAAAAAAATACTTTTTCATAATAGATCTTTAAAAACAAAACCGCTTTACCAAGAAAAATTCTTTACCTGTCAAAATTGATAAACAAAGGCACGCAAAAAGCAAAAGAAGAAAAATAAAATTTCGAGACTCTGAATTGTGGCTTTGAAAATAATTTCATTAGAAATTTACCTTTTAAGTAAATAATTTCATCTTACATAAAGAAAGGAAAAGAAATAAAAGAGACAAAAATGTCGCATTACGCAAAATAATTTTCTTTTTTTGACTCCCCATCCAAAAAAAGGAAATTTAATCAAAATATTTTTGCTTAGTGAATGATGAGAGGAATAAACAACGCGAGCGATGAGCAAAAAAGAATTTTTTTTGAAGTTTTTTCTAAAAAAAAAAAAACAAAAATAACTTGAAGCTTTATTATTGGGGATCGTTCATAAGTTACGTAAGGTAAGCTTGCAAAGACTGAGAGTCAAAGGGGGTCTCTTAAGTCTAACAGCACCCATAACTTCTGAAGGTTGACATAAACTTCAATTTTTAGACGTCATTTATAAACAACCCTCACAAAAAAAGAGAACGAGATCGAGCAACTCAAGAATTTAATAAGCGAAATAATTTAATCTTCAAGTATTTCACCGTCGCTTTACAGTAAAATAACAAAAGGCAACAGCAGCAGCAGCAACAATAAACAAGTAACTTTTCTTCTGTGAGAATGTGTTGTTGTTGTTGTTTTTAGCATTTTTTGCATAAATAGAATCTACAAACTTTTATATGAAGTTCCTCTACCCATCATGTTAGTTTTTTGTGCTGTATATTCTTTTTAAAAAATAGAGGAATTAAATTTTTGCTACCAGAATGTTTTTGAGTTCTTCTAACAATGCAAAATTTTTTAAATGAAATTTTCTTTTCGCTTTCTAGCTTTTTCGCTTTTGAACTTTGTTTTTAAGGATTTTGTGGAAGTGGGAATTGTTTTGGGAGAGCATTTATTGTTGGATTTAGGGGAGGGGGGGGGGGGGGAGGTAAGAGCATCTTACTTGTTAAAAGGCTTAAATTGCGACAAATCAAACTTACCTTAGTTCTAATCTTATAGTCTGCTTTTCGAGTATACCTTTCACTTATCACGTACAGGGGGGGGGGGGAATTAAGCAAGAAAAGGACATATGAAATTTCTAGAAATCCATTGTTCTTTTTTGAAAAATAACTATTAATTTCGGTCGTCATAAAGTAACAACACCTAGGGTAGTGATTTAAGTAAAGGTCAATGACCGCCCTCCTCCCCAATACAGCTATACCACTACCATCCATCATAGTCCATAAAATCTCAATTAAAATGCGCTTACCCAAAATATTTCAAAGCCATCCAAACTCCATTTTGCTCTCCTTTTTCTTTCAATTCATCCATACGATGATGCAAACATTCTCCGACTGTGTTATTTAATTGAATCCTGAAAATTACAAGAATTTACTTTGCTTTTAATCAGCAAGTTCTTTCATTCTTTATATTATTATCTTTTCATTGTTCTGCGTTATACTCTTTGCATACTTAATAGTAGAGCAGCAGTCGTATGCAAGCAGAACAGAAAAAAAATCTTTAGCTCTCTTTTAGTTCTTGCTCATTTTACATTTTGCATGCAATCAAAAAGTGAACATCAGTAAAGTAAATTTTTTTACACTGAAGTGGTGGAAAGATTTTTCTGAGTTAGAAAGTCTATTTCGGGGTGGTGCATAGAGCGCATTTTTTAAAATTTTATGTTGGATGCATACAGATGACTTTAGTTGAGTTTTGTAGCTATGAGAACACTTTATGAACACCCTGGGCTCCCCAGTTTACTCTAGGACTCAACTCTGACAAAACTGGGTCTAAGACCCAAAGTGCATCCCTCCAAACCCTTTCTTAAGCATATTTATCAAACAATCTCTCACAACGCAGCAGAGAAAAATTCTGTATAAATAAAATTTCACATGATAATCGTGTGTACAAATGCAGTGCAGTGATTATTACACCCCATGTGAATAACGAAGTCAAATTCAATCCAAAACAAATTTTTTAATTTCATAAATGAGAATAAATTGTTTTCAGACTTGAACTTTACATTTTGCTTTCCATTTCACGTCTGTTGCCGTGCAATGTAGTTTGCAAAAAAAAAAGAATTCCAAAAAAGGAAAGAAGATTTTTTTTTATTTAATGAATTACAGTGCGATTTATCGAAACGCCAATTGCATAAAAAAGCGTTGCAAATTCTAATTGAATTATTCGTTTATTTCCCTCATCTTAACATTTCTCTCATTTTCTTCTTTACCAGGTATTCTCAATGGCTAAAGCATACTTTAGCATTGGCGGTCAATATTATAATGGTGAGCCTGTACAGTATTCATACATGCCTGATCAAGTCATGGAACATGCACGTGATGTCACGATCAAACTACATCATCGCATTGGACGTTATGTACAACTTCAATTGTATTTCGCATCAAGATGGATATTGCTGAGTGAAGTTTCATTTATATCAGGTAAGTCATTGCATTCACACTTTAATTATTGGATATCATTTTTGAAATTAAAGTAAATGAAACGAAAATTGTTGAAATAATTGTTATAGTTTACCTGCTTTTTCTCGAGGTGGAGTTTTCATTAATTTAAATGCCATTTTAAATGATTTTTTTAAGTCTTGTGAAATTCTCTTTGAGTGAGATTGAAAAAGAGCAAAAATATGGAACAGGAGTTAAAAAGTGGAATGAAATTTTAAACAATATATAAAAATGTGAACATTTAAATGCATCATAAATTAGTAAATTGCTAATCAAAGATTAATCAGCAAAGTTGGGAAGGTTCAAATCCTAGAATTTCTAATTATTAGCCAAAGATTAAACTCTGTTCAATGCTTGACATTTTTTTCTTCAAATCTTTGAGGACCCCCCCCCTCATTTTTCTTCCCCTATTGTTGAGTACAATCTTTTTTAAATTTTTTTTTGAAAAGTAAGCCATCATTTATGAACGATTCTCATTAAAACATTCAAAACCACCTGTGCAAGCTAATAAAAACCTATAAAATTCCATTACTTAGACACAGTCAGAGTCTACTCTCTTTCACAACCACACCTATTCAAGTCTCATTCCTTTAATAAAATTACAACATTTTGTAATTCCATAGAAACTTGTACATCCATTTATGCATAAAGTATTTAAAAATATTCATTCATACACACACTTCATGCTCATGTTCATAAATTAAAACCATATTTTTTTCTAATTATTTATTTCATAAATTTCTTACCGTTGCCATTTTTATTCCTTTTACATTTTTCCTTCAATTTTTCATTTTCTCTTCTTTCATGCTCACACTGCGGCATATAGACTTGCTCTCATGTGAGGTTATGAAATTTTGCATGCTATGTGTAACATGTAACATAATTTTGCATATCATGTAGCTAGCATAAAAAAATAAATATTTTCCTTCATGTTCAGTTAGAAATTCCAACATGAGCAAAGTCGTCTTGTTGCGATTTGAAGATTCTCGTTAGGTGAACCTTCCCTTTGATGTCATGCAAAAAATGTCAAGTGATGTTTTTCCTTTAATTACACCTCGATTAAAATATTTATGTAGAGCAAGCTGGATGAGATGTGCGCGAGAAATTAAGTGCATGAGGTTATAATGGCTCTGAAATTGAGGAAAAATTAGATTAGACGCATTTGTGGCTAAGCATTCAATTATAGTTGATGAAAAAGTGTTTTTTATGAAATCTCACTATACTTCACAACAGCAAGTTTTTCGATTTTTCTGAGTTTTGTATGAAATTTGACTATACTTCACAAGAGCGAGTATCTCGATTTTTCTGAGTTTTATATGAAACTTGACTATACTTCACAAGAGCAAGTTTCTCGATTATTCTGAGTTTTGTTCTAAATCTGACTATACTTCACAAAAGCAAAATTTTCATTTTTCTGAGTTTTGTATGAAATTTGACTATACTTCACAAGAGCAAGTTTCTCGATTATTCTGAGTTTTGTTTTAAATCTGACTATACTTCACAAAAGCAAAATTTTCATTTTTCTGAGTTTTGTATGAAATTTGACTATACTTCACAAGAGCGAGCATCTCGATTTTTTAAGAGTTTTATATAAAACTTGACTATACTTCACAAGAGCAAGTTTCTCGATTATTCTGAGTTCTTGTTCTAAATCTGACTATACTTCACAAAAGCAAAATTTTTCTGAGTTTTATATGAAACTTGACTATACTTCACAAGAGCAAGTTTCTCGATTATTCTGAGTTTTGTTTTAAATCTGACTATACTTCACAAGCGCCAAATTTTCATTTTTCTGAGTTTTATATGAAATTTGACTATACTTCACAAGGGCAAGTTTCTCGATTTTTCTGAGTTTTGTTCTAAATCTGACTATAGTTCACAAAAGCAAAATTTTTCTGAGTTTTATATGAAATTTGACTATACTGCACAAGAGCAAGTTTCTCGATTATTCTGAGTTTTGTTCTAAATCTGAATATACTTACAAGAGCAAGTTTTTCAATTTTTCTGAGTTTTTTTTTTTTGAATCTGACTATACTTCACAAGAGCGAGTATCAACTTCATTAATCCTCAATTCCTCCTCAAAAATCCGATAGCAAATATCCAAACCGATTACAATAATTCACCACCCACCTTCAAATATCCAGCATCAAGAAATAAAAGTAATTTACTTTGAGTGGAAGAAGATGCTTCTCAGTGCCTTTTAAATATTTATTATGATTTCCATCTCTGCCGTATCTTTTTTATTTTCATCTCCTCGACGTTGGCTTTTGTTTGAAAATGTTTGTTTATGTAGCAGAACATTAAATAAATTGTAATACAAAGGAGTGAAAAAAAAAGAAATAGAGAGAAGATTGGCATAAATTAAAGGGCCTAAAACAACTCACTTTCAAGCAACAGCACCGACAACTAATCTGTCAAATTGTCTTTTTATTATTCATTAACGCAATATTACGCGTACTTACATTAATTAAACTTTTCTTCTCAACTGTTGCAACATCATAGTATCTTGTTAGTAATTAGATTTGTGTAAGATCTTCATCTTCCGCTCTCACTCCGTCTACGAGTTTTTGGTACACATTGTACGATGAAAATTTAATTCATGAGGCATGTGATTAAATAAATACGGATACATTGTTGTTGTGCAGCAATTCATGACTTATTCATTATGTTTTGACATAATTAGCATTAAGCTTGATTGTCTAATTATAATAAATAATCAAAAATCGTATGCAGTGTGGTGATATGAATTTTTAATTTTAGATTGCATTGAGGTTTAAGGACGGCATTTTGTGGAATTTGTTTTATAGTAAATTATGAGATTTGATCAATTTGATTAATGTTGATAGGTTCAATTCCTAAAGTTTTGACATAAATTCAACTTATTTCTAAATTTCATTTTTTTTTTAAATTATTTTCATTTAATCACCCCAAAAAGTAAAAATTATAAACAACTGACCCTCAAACTCATGAAATCAACAATAATAGCACAAGAGGAAGTGCAATTCATTTATCACACCCAAAACAGTACGACAGTACTTAAAAATCATCTCAATTCTTATTCCTCATTTATTAATGATAAATGAATGAAAATGGAAATGAATGTTTAAAAAAATCATAAAATGTCATTTAACATATGTTTGTGCCACACTCTATTGCCTTCTTTTCCATAAATGTCTCGCGCACTTTAACCGGAAAAGCGGGATAAAAAAATAAAAGAAATTTTCTTTTCAACTACAATTATTCAAAGAAAAAGGAGAGAAAAATATAAAAAGAATAAATTCCATCTCATCTTTCAAATGAAGAAGAGGTTGACATGAATCATGAGCTCTCTGTGTATATTTTTTGAAATATTTATAGGAGCAGTGAATAATTAAATGATTAATTATTGTGACTTTACCGCGCTTTACTTTCTCATTATTCTTTCTCATTTTTAAAGCACATTTTAATGCCATTGCTGTTGCTCTTTTCATTCCTTTCTTTTGGAAATTTGACATCAAGAGAAGTTATCTCGTGTCATTTAAATACGCCACTCTGAAAATATTTGTAGCTGAATTTTTGAACGAAATGGTGGTGCTAGTTTTAGTGTCGTATGAAGGAAAGGCATGAAATAATTAATTTTGGAACTGCCAATCGTTTATTCAAGTCTTTAAAACTGCAAGAAATTATTATAGAAAATATTAAATTAATAGTTTAAATAAGTTCAAACTTGATTAATGTGGGTTCAAATCCTAAAATGTAATTTTAAGTAGACTTTAAGCCTCGTTCGAGAAAAATGTTTTTCATCTCTTTTTTTTGTGCAGCTCCAACATGCGCCTTATCTCCTCGATTCTCCAACTTTTTGGTCCTTTCCACATTTTCCATCATTCACTTTTTCTGTACATCATTTCATTCTTTCACACAAAATAATGTTGATGATGATGAGTTTCTTCTGTGTGTCAGTGTCTGTGCCATATTTTCCCGGCATACACAAGGTGGAAAGTACACAAAAGATGAAGAAAAATTAAAGGATGTTGATGATAGCAGCGGATGAGGAGTGAGGAGAAGAGTCAAATGAGCAAAAGTGAAAGAAATTTTTTTTGTGAAAATTCTTTACATGAAAAATGAAAAATTTCGCTATGAAAATGAGAATTTTTTTTGTTGTTGTTGTTTTCCTTTTTTTGTTGCCTCTTTTTTTCACGAGATGACGAGTCAAAGGAATCAAGAATCATTTTTCACTTTTTTTTTCTACTGTTTCACATGTTTCGCATAGCGTGTACAAAATTCTTTTTTTTTACATTCTTATGTGTAGCGTGAAAGGAATTTCTTGAAACTTTTAGCTGCTTTTAGTACTTTTGTTGTTGTAGCTTTCTGCAAAAAAAAAGGAGAATCTTATTCTTTTCACAAAATTCCAAAAAATAAAAGTATAAAAACATACCTATTATATTATTACATATAATTCATTAGGATTCGAACCTTAATAATCTTCATATTTTTAATATTGAACCAATTAATCACATACTAGATAATCGAAAACTCGTCCATTTATTTAAAATGCCCCCCATTGCATTGGATCCTGAATTCATCTTGATTATGTCCAAGATGTAGATTAAAGAAGTAGATAAAAAGTAGATGAAGAAAGGTTCTGAGATTTTGTAGGAATAAATTGTGACTAGGAATAACGAAGGGTGTCAATGAATGCCTTTTTATGAAAGCTTTATTAAAAACATTTTAATTTTAAATTTTCTTTAATAAAACCTTCAGCTTCTAAGACGACAATTCCTCTTTAATCTAGAAAAACATTTTGAAATGAGATTCTTAAGAAAAATTGTTAAACCAATAGTTGAATATATAGTCGATACGTAGAACACCTTTTTGAACTCGCATCTTTCTCTTATCCAAAATAACACAACTTCCAAGAAATCTACCTTCTTTTACATTTGCTGTTAGATGAACATTCAACACAATTTTACAGCACAAACAAGCAAAAATCTTCTTAATATTATGTGTATAGCTTTGAGTATGAGGAATAGAGGATGTTCATAATTTTTCTCCTTTTCTTTTTCAAATGAAAGAAAATGAAAAATCTTCAAAAATCCATTTTTCATAAAATATACATTACACATAACATAGTAAATGATATTATATTAATGTACAAAGAGGGGATTTGTTGAGGAGATGCAAATTCATATTCTAATGAATATTTTTTAAGGTTCACATGTAAAGGAATTTTCGTTTCTAATTTCAACTGTCATTCTTAATCATCATATGAAGGGAAATTTGTGTTTGGATGTCATAAATTTATTAAAAAGTACATGCTAGTGTTGGGAATGGGAAAGAATTTTTAATGTAAATTTTGTAAAATTAGACAAATGAAGTTTACATTTTAATGATATGGGTTTGCTTGTAATTAGAGTTTACGATTTGTTATTTTCGTGATTTGGATGTAAGGATTTTTTGGTGAAGGGGTTGGTGGAGGGGATTGTGAAGATTTGATCGAGATTTCATTTGGAATTTTATATTTGGAATATTTACTTGTAGTTCAGGATCAGTGGACGCTAGATAACTTGTCAGCCTAAGTCTCTATATAGCCATGCTAAACCTGACTGTGTCCCCTACAAAATAAACTATGACTCAGTTCCAAGCAATTCAATCCATTATAATCTCATAAAGAACATACTTTGTAAGAAATCATCACAGCAATTGCTCTATGCACAAAAATGTATAAAATTATTCCTTCTTATTTTACATAACCACATCAAAGAATGACTCAAAAATAAGAAACAAGAAAGTCTCAATTTCTTTATTTTCTACAATAACATAAAAAGTCATAAAATGCAGCATAACAAAGCATATAAAATATGAAAATGTACATAAAAATATGAAGAAAAAAAATCTCAGATGATATTTTTGACCTTTCATGGATTGCATGAATGAATTATTGTGTTTTGCACTTTCATTTCCTTCACTTTATGTCTTGATGCTCGTTTAAAATGAAATAAAAATGAAAAGATGAAATAAGAATAATGATGAGGAGGAGAAGGATGACTCTTGATATAAAATGATGATTTATTAGAATGTCTCACTGCTAAATTTATCTCATTATATTCATCATCTTTTGCTCTCATTCTGTACAAGACACTTCTGTGTGCTCTTCACTTTTATCATTGAAATGAAATTTGATAGTGAAAATTTTTTTCTTTATGAAGTGAAGTGTCTTTATGGACTTGATTTCATTAGAACTGTGAGTTTGATAAGATACAAAATTTAATAAGATTAAATTTATAATACATCAGAACGAATAGGGAGCTGTTCACTTATGACTTCAAGAAGGGCGGGGATAGGGGGGGGGGGGGGGGGGGAGCAGCAAGAAAGAGCAATAGAAATTTCTCGAAATTCATTGAAATATGACCGTTAAATTACAACGTCATAAGTGAACGACCCCCCAACTTTATGATAATTAAACCCATAGGAATTGAACCTTTTCCTTTAAGGAATTTTAACTATGATTCCATATTGATGATTATTTCAGATTTGCATTTTAAACATTACTTACAATTTTCATTTCACAAATTTACTTTAATTTCAAAACTTATTATTAATTAAATGAAACTTTTACATCATTATTTCAAAATCTAATTGCTTCTTTTTATTTTCACAGTTCCAGCAATTGGCAACTTCAGTGAAGAGGTCGCATATGTGAAACCACAAGACACAAATTCCATCGAATATACACTCCAAAGTGACGAAGTTCAAATGTCCAAGAATCGTAATGTTAATCGTAATCATGTACCGCAAAGTGAGTAATCAAACGTAGACATCACCTAATCATGAGTTTATCATCATCACAATATTGAGGACACACAAAGTGTAGTCATTGACACAAAATCATAAAGCCAATTATTTAAAATTTTTCCACTTGAGCTGCAAAATTTTCCTCTGTGCTTCGGTGTTTTGAGAATGATTAGCCTCATTTTTTTCTTTTCAATGACTTTTCCATTTGACTAACCATAAACGATGCTATTACTTTATAAATTTTCATGTGTCGAGTCGGCCTTAAAAAATATTTTTTTGGGAACGACATCAAAAATCCCTCAAAAAATTTTCAAACCTTTTTTCCATTCAACCGAACCCGAAAATAAAAACTTGCAAACACATTAAAGTCTTTACATGTGTTGGGGGGACACTGTCGTCTTGTTATCAATGCCATTGTGGATGTAAAATAGTCAAGAATGGAATGTAAAGTGCCAAATTATTAGAAACTTAAAGAGTCTGTCGATGTCGGTTGAAGTGTGAAAAAAAGAAGGAAATTGTCCATTTTCTTTCAATTTCTTGTCTATGACGACATCACATGTTGAATGTCAGTAAAGGAAGAAGCTATGAGGAAAAAGAAGAAAAAGTTAATTATCCTTAAAGTCATAAAATGATTTTTTCTCAGATGTCTTTCGTCCCTTTTTTGGATATGTACATTTACATGTACACACATTTTCTATTAGTGACGAAAAATAAGAAGAAAACTTTAAAAGCGAAGGGCCCCTTTTTGGGGATTGAAAATGGAAATTTTATGGATTTGTCGGAGCATAGAGGCACTCATATATGGAATTATTTAATTAATGTGGTCTCATTATCCATTATCATTAATGGTTTTTGTCCCCTAATATGCAATCCTTGGGTTGATTTTTTGTCAAATTATTTTATGTGCAAATGAAAAGTTCTATAGTTGCTAAATTAATGTTTGACTAGTTCTGAATAGTTTTGATTCAGACTCAGCAGTGATATATATGCATACTTGGTCTTTAACACTTTAATAATTTACTGGTAGCAATCTGAACTTAGTAGGTTTACTTAAAGCTACAATTTTGCATATGTGTTGTAAATTAAGGATTTGAACCTATGATTTTTAAGTGTTTTTAAAAATCTTTAATGCTTGTTCTTAAAACAATTTGCATTTGATCAACAAGCTTTAATATTCTGACAAAAAATACACCCAAGGGAATATTCAACCACAAAATGTGCTTTTCCACCCCCCAAAAAAATATCCTCCATCCTTTCTAAAATTTTATATCATGTCGTTCCTTCTTTGCATAAAAAAATAATCATTTTTTTCCTTTATCTGTTACAGTCGTTTCGTCACGACCAATTGATCAAGAGCCAGAGCAGCATATCATTAGTGTCGTGATTACGGCACTTGCTATTATCATCTTTGTACTGATTGCCGTTATATTATTCATTGTGACGAAGAATAAACGTACAAGAACGGCAGCTGTGCTTAATGCCTTACAGCATACACAATATTCTGATGGATTGGGCATCGATAAGCGACTGAATAGTAACTTTAAAGTGTCAATGGATGACAACGAGTCAATCGATAAGAGTAGCTTATATCATGAGCCATTCAATGTTAACATGTATACGAGTGCAGCGAGTGGATGTACTCTTAATGACATGCAGCAGCGACTTCATGTTACACCTGATTATACAGGTAGGTTATTGATACTCTCTTTTGATGCTCAATCTTTTTATATGTTCATGCGCCGCCTCTTCAGCAATTTTAAATCTTTTGCGAAGCTCTTAATACAGCTCAACTCGTTATAAATGAATGGAATTAATAATTCAGTATTAATTAATATCATTTATGAGATATTTTTATGCTCATATACCGCCCATACCCATGTATACACATATATTGTATTTATAAAAAATTGATGATATTGTGAATGTGTTTTTGAGGCAACAAAGTCTCAAGTTAGAGCTGTGAAAGCAATTTCTGCACAAAGACGATGGAAAAAATGGTTAATTAAATTTTAATGGGGCGATTTAATTTAATTTTATATTGAAAGGATTTGTGGATATGATGTCCAGCTGTTGGGCATCTTGTTTGGTGAATTCTAAAGGTTTTTTGAGGAGGATTGGAAACTAATTAATAGCTTGGATTTAATAAGATCAATTTTTGAAGTAATTCTCAGTCACAGAGCTTGATTAGTGTGTTGGGGATGATACAGGGTCTTAACCATTAAATGCGTCTTTCCTGTTAGGTTTATAAGGCTACACAAGATCCAAATGCTCACATATCAAGTCATATACTTGTTCTATGTCTTTTAAATAAAAATCATAAATTCTAAACCTGCTCGAAATCTACAATTCACATCCGTACACCATGCGACATGCACAGATCATCACAAAACGCATAAATAGTCAGCAATAAGAAGGAGATATAATTTATTTATTATTATTCATCACATGTCATAAGCATAAATTTTCCTCCACTATACAAATTGCATCATAGACATTCTGCATCATAATGCATTCAAACATGAAGAAGAGATTAAAATAAGAATTAGAATTGACTCCTAACATTAATCTATATTTAAATTAATTTCCTCATTAAAATATTGAAAAATGTATGTTGTGATGCACTCACACATGCTGTTGTGCCTTTTATTTTGCATCTTTTGATTGCATTAAACTCATTAAAATATGAGAATTTAATGCGCGCGACATGAAGGCAAACACACACACACACACCCACGAGATAATTAATGTGATGCACAACATGACATGAGACTGCAAACTTTCCTCGTGTTTTATTTTATTTTATTCTTGATTCTTCAAAAACAAAAAATGAGAAAAACATCTCATTACATTTTGCTCATTGGAATGGAGATGATCAGCATGGATGGCGACTAACGATTAATTATAAGCCGTCAATTAATTAAAACGAGTGTGTAGTACTCGACATTATCAAAGGTGTGGATTGAAATTGTCCCAGTCAGCTCATGAATATTCATATTTTTAATATGTGCATTTTTTTAATCTCAGCAAATATTTCAACATCATCATAATCTTATGACATGATATTGCAATCGCATACATTCGTTGTGTGTGTTTGTGCATGGCAATATGACATGAAGAATGTGTTTTAAAAAAAATGGGAAGAAATTGAAAGCACATGTGCGCGAAATGCAAACAGATGTGAAACTGATAGGAATGGTTCTTTTTTGCTGTAGATTTATTTTTTTGAGTAAATTTGGGATGCTAATGATTTCCTGTAGTGGATTGTTGTTGTGAACTTTTTGACCTTTTAAATTGTATAACTGTTAAATTTTGGAATCAAGATAAAATGAATCTTAAGAAAAATTTCCCAAAATTATGGTTCAAATCCTAAAAGATATTTATTAAATTTTAACATATAATGTTTAAACTTTTTTTTGCAAAATCCACTCCTTAATTATCTCAATTCAGTCAAATTTATCGATTAATTTATCAAAAAAAAAAAATTGTCTCCTTTATCACTGCCATATCCATGAAACAGCTAACGACTTTATTTATCCATTATTTATTGGGAGAAATCAACCATGTTGTGCGCTTACATTAAAATGAGGGAAGCAAAAAAAAATCTCTTCATCAAATTTTATCACATCAATAAATTCAATTTTTTTTTTTCTCTTCACTCAATCGAGCATGTCGCCAACACTCAATGCACTGTGTAATGAATGACTCGATTTTCTGATTTTGGAGGATAAATGGATACGAAAAAAAACTTAATAAACTTTCACATTTAATATTCTTTACTGTCCATGGATTTTTATTTTTATTTTTTTGCCACTTAAGCAGGCACATAAGCAAGCACAAGACATGTCTCATTTTATCATTATCATCATTATTATTATTGCTGTGTGTACATAAATATACACATATATGAGATGGAAAAAGAGACTCATATGTGGGCTTCAGAAAGCGATTATCTTTTTAATTATCGCCTCTGTCATGTACGTTAATCTCTTTCACTTATCTATAGCCCTATCAACAATCTTTAATATCATGGACATTAGTGTCTTTGCGATTTAATAAGTTATGAGCTGGTACGACTGAATAAGTAAATGGAGTGGATTTATGCGTCAAATAACGTCAAGTTTAGTGCTATTGAGAGGAGCTTTTGAAGTTTTATGAACATTGATGGATTATTTATTAGGAGCCGTTTATTAATGACGTCCAGGGGGGGGGGGCAGCAAGTATAGAAATTATTAGAATTCCAGTGTTCTTTTTTGAAAATGACCGTTAATATTGCAAGTCATGAGTGAACTAAGCGGTCATTCGTAATAAAGTTCAATAATTTGAATTCAAAGTCTTAAATTTAAGGTTCGAATCCAAGAAGTTTTTCAGGAGCGTAGCCAGAAAATTTTTAAGGGGGGCCCATTTTCGAAAATTAAAAAACCGTTATTTTGTATCCTTAAATCTATATTCATTCTTCATAAGTTTAAATATTTAATTCATTATTCATACATTAAATTTAATTTTTCGTGCTGATTTTGACATTTCTTTCATTACTTCCTCTACATTAACTGGTTCTTCTCTATAAATACTTAATAAAACAATTATCGGATTTTCGTAGGGGGGGGGGGGCCGAGCCCCCTATGCCCCCCCCCCTGGCTACGCCCCTGAAGCTTTTTATTAAACTACTATTTGAATCCTTCTCACTCTTTATTTGGAAGCTTTTATTTATTTTTCCTGAATACCATTAAAAACCCATTCAAAATCAATCATAAGCAGCCTCGAGCTACATAACTATCACATCTAATCCACATGCACTATTTCAATGATTATTAAAATATTTCTCACAAATGCATTCATAAATAAAAATTCCACCTCCTTTCATCTTATTGAAGTCTTGGCAAGATCAACCATAAATCACAACATTCTTCATCTCCATTCTATCATAATAAGATTTATGTCTCTTCACATTGCATTGTTGATACGAATATTATAATGCATGTCATGTCCTTCACATATATACCATACACACACACAATAAATGTGCAATCTTGAAGCTTTATTTTCATCATCTTATCTTATCGTCGTCATCACCATCATCATCAACACTATGTGGAATGAAAATAATAGTGAGAACTGCAAAGAGGAAGAAACTGACGAGGATGAATAATGATGGAAATAAAAAGAACAAGAATGTAGCTTGTATTGATAATGTTATCATAGATTAGGCTTGAGGTGAAGTGGCATTCAATAGGATTTGAACTTTGGATTTTATGATTTCTATGTTGATTTGTATTTCAGACCCTCCTTGATTCTTTTGGACCTAGCTACAGTTTATGAAACCTTAAAAAACTTTAATTTGGTTTTGATCGCTTCTATTAACCCTCGTTTACATCTTTTGGCCCTATGATACTATATTTGTCCCTACTTCCTCTCAATATGGTTCACTTGCTTCCTTTGGAGCCTTTCTCTTGTCTAATTGGATCCCCTTCATAAGGTACCAAAAGCAATCATAATCCAACTATTCCCAGCTATGAACCTACTGATGCTACATCTGAAAATTACTTCAGTAAGAAACGAGAAGCACAAATAATGCTTGATACTTTATTGTTATTTCCATTGCACATTTCATATAAAAGCATTTGCAATTCACATAAGTGGATTATGCAGATGGAACAGCTATGCATGTATGGAATTTATTTATACATAAATGCTGAAAATACCTTCCATTCTCTCACATTTCGGAGACAATTTTCAAGCGAGTTCAAAAGTTCAAAAATTTCTCGCTTTCTTGTTCTTGAAAATGCACACTTAATAAATCTTAGTCAACATTAAACTAAAGGTGCTGCATACGATACTGTGTCAGGACAGAAACTGCATAAAATATGTGAGCCACTGCCATTAAAATTATTATGACATTCATAAATCTTCAAGTTAAAATAAATTTGGATCAACTATGTGAACATTCGAGTGATAAATTAAATGGCAGTGAATATTTTTAAAGTATAAAGGATGTCAGTTTTGGTTGAATTGACTTTTTATTTGGTGAGAAAATAAAATTAATTTCTTCAAAAAAAAGTGAATCAGTTGAACTTAAGTTTGCGAACAAATCAATAGGATTTGAACCTTTAGACTTATTGAAAAAACGTGAAGGTGCCTTAGTCTTTTGCATCAGTAAACCCAAAGTAAACCTTCATTTAACAGATTTATTTCAATAATCAAATATGGCTAAAATGTAAACACTTTTTTATTTAAAAAAATTAAATTTAAAAAAAAAACAACTCTAGTTCCAATTATAAATTCAACCAAATAAATCAATACAATTCAATAAAACTTATTCATATACATAAATTCCAGTAAACTGCTCCGTAATGCTCTCAAATTTCATGCTTCAAGTACATGTGGTTTTCCACTTGATTTAAAAATGATTAATCGGCACTTTAAAGGCGTTCACATATGATGTAATATACATACTCCGCTCTCCAACTTTTATATTGTTTGAAGACAAAAGCTGTTTGTAGCTGAAGTCTAAGATATTGAAAAATAAATATTTTTTTTTGAGAAAATCGAGGGAAAAAGCTTCAAAGAAAAATAATTTTCCATTCAATCTATTTTCTTTCGTTTGAAAAATGTTTATAATGCAATGTCGAAATTCTATTAAAGTGAATGGTGGGGGGAACTGAGATGAGATGAGGAAAAGTTTGGCTCATATAGTAAAAACATGAAAGCATGAAAGATCTATAGACAAATGAAAAATATATGCAAGGGGTGGGTGTACGAAATTAAATTCATTTGGATGTGACTCGCTCATTTGTAGGTTTCAAAAATTAAGAAAACTCAAAAGTTAAGACACAATGTATTCATTACCCTTAACACCTTAAGTAACTTTCCCTTGCTGCCCCCTTTTCTCCATTTATCTATCCATTCATCTATCTATCTTTCCAGCAGCAGCAGCTGGTATGAACATAGATAGCAGTCGTCTACACAATGAAAATCTTCTTTATACTTCACTTTTTAGGGAACTTACATTGTAATGCTTTTACTTTACTTTACCACAAATTTTCCCTTCATTCATATTGGAAAATTGTTTTATCTCTCGCAAAACTATCACTGTGTAAAGATTGCTTGTTGTTTCATCCCTTGTGAGGATTTTTAGCGGATGTTTTGATCTGACAGGGGTTAGTGATGGCTACGATATAGTTGCTCGAGAGGGGTCTACTAATAACTTCCACCAGCATTGACCAACACTAAAAATTGATTAATTTTTTCATGACTCGTCCATCCACAAAAGCAGGACACATTGAACCCAGAAAAAAAAATCAATAGAAATTCCATGAATTATTCAATATAAATCTGTGCCAGAAAAACATCCCAAAGGGATCACGTCACACATCTCTTTTAGAATTCACTTAAAATCCTTTCGAACTTACAAAATGCTTCGTCGGAGTCGCATGAAAAAGAGCTTATTTTGAAAAGAGCTATAAAGATTTATTTGATTTTTTATGTGCCAACCAACTTCCGTATTTACTATTTTTTTTTTCGTACTCACACAGACATTTGCAGAAATGCCATGTGTAAGTCACATAACTTGTTGTTATTTCCTGTTGTTTTTACAATTTATTTTTCAATATCAAGGCGGCAGCAGCATGAACTGTACAAAAATATGTATTATTTTTTTCAATATCTCGCATCACTTTCAGATGTTCCTGATATTGTTTGCCAAGATTACGCGGTACCACATATGGAAAATTTATTGCCAAAAATGCCAGGTGGTTATATCGGTGTACGTTTGACACCTCCATTGAATAATATATTTCCAAAACCACCTAAAGTTCCACCACCGCCACTAAACCAGGAAAAGTATTATGCGGCAACACAAATATGTTCAAGTAAACCACCCGGTACAATGACACTCAATGGACACATTCTCAGCAGCTCAAATACAATGAATAATAATAGTATGAAGACGAGTAGTAATCATAGTAATACAAATAGTAATGGATCAAATACAACGGCATCATTAGATGGACGTAATGGATGCATCACACCGACAACGCCATTAAATCATCATCTCAATTCATATAGTGACTTCGATACACTTCTCATGGATGATGAGGTGCAAATGAAGGAATTTCCACGTGATAAATTGGTCATTGTTGAGAAGCTTGGATGTGGAATGTTTGGGGAGTTGCACTTGTGCGAAACAAAGGGACTCACGTAAGTTATTACAATTGGCTAAGAATTTTTAAGATTCGAACTCCAACTTTTTATCTATTTTTAAGTTTTAAAATGATTATTTTTAAATATTTTGACTTAATTGTTGGCAACTTACTAATATAGCAACAAAACTTTTTCCTTCTATAGATCAAACCTCGTTGCCGTCTCAACCCTTCGACCAGGTGCATCAGAAACTGTAAAGAAAGAGTTTCGATCGAAAGCAAAGCATTTGGGTCGGTTAAATGATCCAAATGTTATGAAACTAATCGGAGCATGTTTGAAGGATGAGCCAATATGCATTGTATTGGATTATAAATATAGTAGTGATTTAAATCAATTTTTACAAGAGCATATTGCTGAAACGGGTCCAGTTTGCATTCAGAATAATTCACTAAGGTAAGATTATTTTTTTGAGTCATATTCTTTGTTAAATGCCGAATGTTAAGCATATATTTAATCAAGTGCAGGAGGTTAACTGGGATGAATTGCAACATCTAAGGGTATCTTTTAATATTCGCATAAAATGACCCAATAATCAACATCAATAACGCTCACATTAATATATAAAGCACTTTCCACTCTCAAAACTCTCTTGACATTCTAGACAATCAGTGAAAATGCCCAAAATGATTGTCTTTTTCATCTCATCTCATCTCTCCTGTGAATTATCCATCCATTCTCTATCAATTTATTTCCTCCTTTTTTGCAAATACGGATGAAAATTAAATTTTTAATAAAATGATACTCATCCATTGAACTTTCTATGTAGAATCCTCTCTTTTATAATGGCAAGGATGAAAAAAAGGCAACAATATAAAAGGGTTCATTTCGGGACATCTATAGAGAGCAATGGCTCGTCTATTTGGTAGAAAAATTAGAAAGTTGAAAAAGGCAGGATGAATTGATAAAGGAAGTGGATGTGGCGAATTTAATAAGAAAAATTATTGATTTTTTTGATTTTGCTATAAATCTGACTATACTTCACAAGAGAAAATTTCCATTGAAAGTGAGATTTTGTATGAAATCTGACTATACTTCACAAGAGAAAATTTCCATTGAAAGTGAGATTTTGTGTGAAATCTCACTATACTTCACAAGAGCAAGTTTCAATGAAAATTGAGATTTTGTATGAAATCTCACTATACTTCACAAGAGCAAGTTTCAATGAAAATTGAGATTTTGAGAAATATTTTTCAACTAGTGATTTGACCGCTTCTTGTTCCTTTTCATTCCAAAAATATTTCGATTTAAAAATCGACATGGAAAATATGGAGCAAATAGAAAGAAATCAATTTCTATTAAACTTTCATGTCCTGTATGAGTGTGCATACATGCCTGAAGTCTCTACGTCTATGATATGTTATTGAATTAATAATATCTCCATCTCTCTCTTTCTCTCTTTCTTTCTACGCCAGCTATGGATGTTTGATTTATATTGCAACACAAATCGCTTCTGGCATGAAATATCTCGAGCAAATGAGCTTCGTTCACAAAGATCTTGCAGCAAGGTAAGTGAAATATTATATTTTTTTTATATCCTCGACTCATACATTGTATTCAGTGTACGAATCATAAGAAACGTTGATGATGATGCTTGCAACTTGCAATTTCCATTCCATAGGATTTAAAAAGTGACTTTAAGAAAAAATAAATAAAAAATAAATAAATAAATATTTGAAGATAAAAAAATGTAAAGTTTAAAGTTGCATTTTCTTCCTTCTGGCATTTTTGATGCTTTCTTTTTGTTGCAATTGGAGGGAATAAGAAATGCAAAAAATATAAATAAATATGTAATCATAAATTTTCCACTCCAAGAAATAGCGAAATTGTTGGTATAGTGGAGATAAAACCGTTATGGGGAAAATAGAGATTCTTATGGATCTTTATGCGAAACGGGGCGAAGAGGGGGGGGGGGGGGGGGGAAGAAGTCCCATTGGGAAGGTGGGTAAGTGGTGTTGTACTTTTAAAACATAATTAGGACGGAAATTTAAGAAAATATGTATTTTAGGGAGAATGCAAAAACGTAATCCAGTAATCATGAGTCTTAGGATTCAAACCTTTATATTATTTAAATTATAATTTAAATTTTTAATTTATCAATTTAAAACTTTATAAAGTTCAGCAAAATGTTTAAAACGTAAATCTTGATTATTTATAAAACGTTCGATTATGGCGTTTTCCAAAATGGGATTTTCAGACCTTTCGCCTCCCCATTCTTTGTCTTTATTTCATAAACATTTATTTTACTTGGAATGTCAAAACAGACGTCATAAGTAAGATGATTCCAAATAAGACATAAACATAATCACAAAGTAAATCAAACACCAGCAATTAAGTAACAAAAAGTAAATTGAGCTTAGAAGGACTGTAAAATTGTACATTTGTGCAGCATATTGAAACATAATTCCATAATTTCATTAATTTAAATCCTTTTATATTTCTCTTGTGCAATTCTTTGCTTCCATTTCTTCACTGCCCTTTTATTATTAAAAAAAGAGAAGATGGAGATGTGAAAATTATATTCGATACGATCCTTAATATTTTTCTGTAACAAAACGGGAAACTTTTTCACACAGAAAAGGGATGGAGTTAGAATTTATTTTTCAGACCCTTCTGTCTCCTTCCTAACTGTATCATTCATACTATAACCTTAAACTTATCTCAGGCTACACCCCTGCAAACTGCATACACCATCTTACAAAGGAAGGAAAAATTGTGCAGTTACACAGGATCATTTTTCGATTTAGTCTTTATGATATTAAGACGACGAGAGTCTTTAACAGCAGAAATTTTTTATTTACGATTTAAACATGTCGCAGTGCACTTTTTTTTGCAAGTTCTTGAATTTCAAGCGAAGCTTAAAAGTACATAAATTTTTTTTTTCTCTCGTGCTCTTTTGCACTTAAAAGCTCACCCCCAACATTACTATTTAAAAGAAAATTTTACAAGAACATGGAATGATGATGATGATGACGTTGGAGTGAAACGGAGAAATATAGCGGAAAAAGAATGGAAAAACACATTGAAAATTTAATTTAACTTTTGCATAATTGAATTTCAACAAACTTTTCCATCGCAAAAAATTTACTTGCTGGCAGCATTGGCTTTGCTCTCTCTTTCTTTCGCTACTGACTCTCAGTTTTTGTATATTTCTTATTTTCATGACTGTATTTTTTGTTTGCCTTACTCACTCACTCACTTGAGTTTTGTCTCATTTGAAAGACATTTTAAAGTTTTTCCCTTGTGCTTTTGGAATTTTTTTTGCTTCCTTTATTTCAAACTTTTGGATGTTTTTTGGTGGATTGAGGTATTTTTTGGTAGATTCAATGAGGTTAGAGGGTCGGAAAGTAATTAAGAAATGAGAAGTTTTGGTATTTTAGTGAAACTGGATGAATTGGGAATGCATAGTTGTTGAAAATAATTTTTGAGATTTGAACATGAGCAGTGGAGCAATTATGATTGCAAATTATGAATTGTGAGGGCTGAAACTAGGGGAATGGGTCTTAGGTACAGTAACAGCTCAAATAGAAGCTTTAGATTGGAGAAATGAGTTTCTGTTGATTCACAAAATCTCATAGAGCTAAGAAACTAGGAATTTGATTGAATATCACACCAAAAAAAATGTCGCACCCCTTCTAAACTGTCAACTCTCTTCTGCACACTAGTTTCTCACAATTAATTATTCAAATGAAGCCAAACAAAAAAGGCAAACACTGCAAAAATGGCAAGAAAATGAAGAAACAAAAATTAACAAACTTCATTTTCCTTATTTTTTGCGATAGAAAAGGAAAGAATTTACATATATTGAAACACAATATCACACCAACCAGCAACAGTGTATGATAATTGACACGACTTGAGGAAGGAAATTTTTTTGAAGCGTGCCTTGAAAATTGAATTCATGTAACAGATGGAATTTCTTTATTGTTAATATGAAAAAAACTTCACAATTGGCAAAATGAAAAACTTTTTTTCTTCCCTCGAAAATTTTCATTTTCAAGCACATAAGAAGCAAAAATATGAAATAAAAATCGTAAAAATTTATTAGAAATCATAAAATCAGCAAGTGCTTTTTTTGTGGGTAAAATTAAATTTCAGTATTACACGACATTTCGCTTTACTTAACTCAATTTTTTTTCTTGTGACAATAATCATTTCTTATCGTGCTTAATATTCTTCTCAAGGTTTAGTCAACTAAAAATAAAAATGGGAAAAGGAAGAAAACCTTTGGTTTTTATCGTGTAACAAAAAATGATTATTCTTGCTGCTTCGGTGGATAGAGGTAGAGCACATTCAGGAGCGTAGTCAGAGAACTTTTTTAAAAAAAGAGTAAAAGTGGTCTTGATGAGATCCTTGCATTGCTAATATGCACTTCATTATCCATCATGCCCTTTTTAATAAGACTCAATTCACACCTGACTTCTCTCCTTTAAATCCTCTCAAACTTCACAATTTCCATTATTATTCATAAACTTACCAACAATCACATTAATCTCCTCAAGCCAGACTCTTCCATTTTCCCTTACTTATCATAATTTATTCCATCCAACTTTTAATTGCAAATACTTTTAATAACAAAATCATTTTTATTGATATTATTGCCAAAGCACATGGCAATAACTTTTAAATTCCATAATACTAAATCAAATCTTTACTTATTAAAAAATATGAGAAAAATATTAAAAAAAATTTCGAGAGTTCTTATTAATACTTGAATGAGTAGCAGAAAGGAGGGAGCAATTTTAGGCAATAAATTTGAACGAAAGGAATGAATTGAGGAAAAAAGGTTTTTTTCGGGAGGAATAAGAAATTGAAATGCAAGAAAGAAAGTAAAAAAATCCTTTCCTTATTTAATATTGCCTTTTTCATTTCCTCTTCCTATTTCATTTTGAGTCGCTTGATACTTTTTTTTGTCGATACGCGTGGATGCTGGGGATAAAAATATTTGAGATCATTTCTAGAGCTTTAGAACATAGTTAACAGGCTTCGTTAGGCGGGCCATGTAGTGAGAAGACCTGTTGAAGCTCTCATTAATAAGGTTCTTAAGTCTGATTTTGTAGATGGAAAAAAAGCACGTGGACGTGTCAAGAACTCTTGGGATAGAGCTTGATTGATAGAGCCAGCTTCAGGATCCATCTAAGGGAGGCCATGGATTACAATTAATCTGTACGGCCAGAGAAGTAAAGTAAGTTAAAACGTAGGAGGTAGACGAAGATATGTTTTCGATGTTATAAGTCCTTTAATATCCAGTTTTGGGGAGTTTATGTCATTTAATATAGGTAGTTTATAAGATGAGGGAGTTGTTAATATTAAGCGGTCATTTAATTGAGTTTACAGGAAGCACTTGAAGCAAGGTAATATAAACCAAAATTACCCCTAAGATAAACCCAAAATCAAGCTTACCCTGAATCATTGAAAGCTTTAAAAATCCCAACATCATCAACACCTCTTCTTCATTCCATTCCATCCATTATATCAACCAAAATCCATCTTAACCAGCCCACAAAAATACCAGAACCAAAGAACAGGAAAATAACAAAATAATTAAGTTTTAATTGAAAATTATCTGCCTGAAATGAGGAAGAAGCAAAAAAAAAATTCTGTTGAGCATGGAAAGTCATTTTTGGTTTTCTCTCATCCGACTATCCATATACACAAAAAAACAGCTCATAGCTCATCCGAGTAGTAGTCGAAAAAAAAAAGAACGGAAGAAGGAGTGAGAAAAAAAATTGTATAATGTAGATAAAGCACATTCACAGGACCAAGAAGAATGGTCACGAAAAAAAAAACACAGAGAAATGATAAAAATATCCCCAAATGAAAGCATGAGCAGCAACAAGAGTAGTCACTGTTAGTTTCAACTAATTAACAGCTAATTAGGTTTTGGACTTTTAAAATTGATAAAAATGGAGATGCGAAAATGGAAGTAGAAAACACACAGCGGTGGTAATGGTTGAGTCCCACAAGAGGCAGCTCTCTTGACTTGCCATTTGGATTTATTTATTTGTGTAGCCTTGCACAGTCGTTTTTCACCATTTCTGTCAATTGATCGTAATGGAGTTTGTTGTTTCGTCTGTTTGCGTTACAATTTTGTGTGGATTTTTCTGTGGCTTGGTGCTGTTTTGGTGATGAAGAATTGAAGAGTTTTGAATGATGAGTTTGGTGGATCTGTGGGAGGGAGGGTTACAAAATAATGTGATGATCCTAAGTTACTTACCCTCATATCCCACCACTAATCAAGCTCCCCACCACAACACAAACAAAATAACAAAACTTAAATCCCAACAGTACACTATGGGGCAAAATGAAAAAAAAAGGGACTTTCACTTTGAAAAATGGACTTTTCCGATTTACACTTTTTGGGTGATTTTTTCTTGTAGAGGACATAAAAGTAGATAGAAATGCCAAATTTCAGGTCATTTGGTGCTGATTTCGCGATTCTAGAGCTGTTTGAAGTTGAAAACTAGTGAAAATTCTGGTTTTTTCATACCATGTTTGAACCGGGAAA